GGAATAAAATATTTTATTTTATCTGCTTAGATGGGTAGACGAGCTCACAGCCCACCTGGTGTTAAGTGGTAAGCCCATAAACAACTATGACGTAAATGCGCCACCCACCTTGAGATATAAGTTCTAAGGTCTCAGTATAGTTACAAAGGCTGCCCCAACCTTCAAACCACAATGCGTCACTGCTTCACGGCAAAAATAGGCAGGGTGGTGATACCTACCCGTGCAGACTCACAAGAGCTCCTACCACCAGTAAAAAATATCTCTCTACTACCATTGTCAAATTCTAAGCTGTTCAAAAGTCGAGTGGAATTATGTTTTTAATTAAAATGGATGTTCATATCAAAACATAGCTAGAGGAGTTTATTTAAATAATGATACCCTTGGAAGAATTTTTCCAGTTTTGTGTAAAGAGTTTTCCTTCCTTCCCTATGGAAATCAATCCTGGATTCTGGTATATCGTCTAGAAAGCGAATGTTTTGGCTCTTCTGATGCATGTCCTTTTTGGAAATCTTTGAATCCTCAAGTAGCTTGCTATCAATACTGCGCTTAGCGAAAGCAGGATTAACGATAAGTCTTCTGAAAAATATTTTAAAATCAAAATTAAATATATTGATGAAGATTCCGGAAATATAGTATTCTTATGTGTCTAGTGTATATTCAATTTGAATAAATCCTTAGAATGATCTTCTCGCATTAGAAGATTATTTCCTCGTGTTCAACAATTAGTAATCTTAACTGGTTTAATTTCCTAACTTAACTCCCCCGCTAATGCTATCCTGCCTTGCTAAGTCCAAAAACAGCGATTCCCAAGAATACTTGAAATAAATATACTATAAACGATATATTTGTTTACCTTAAAGAAATAAAAACCTATAATATCATTAAATAGGACGAATCTAATACAAATTCTTACTTACTTACGATACGGTTGCTTGCTAATTACTTTTCCATTTTCGTCCAGATAGTAAATATGTTTCGAAATGTCACTTCTACGATTTCCTTCGTATATTTTCTTGTGTTCTTTGAAGAAAGAAAACAACTCCGGGTCATTCGGTAATTCCCAAGCTAGAGCAGCCGTACTTCCAAACCACACAATGTCCCCAACTTGCAGATATCCGTGAGTTTGGGTGCAGAATACTAGAATTAGTATTTTAAAACGCTTAGATTAGGGTACATATTTGATTGGGTTAATTGAGCAGTTAACGGTGCTATAATTATGAAAACTAACAGACTTAGTGAAGAATAAAGTTTAATGGTTATTGAAGAAGTCGGTGATTAGCCTAGTACACTTTAGATATGGCATCAAGAAGGACTTTACAGGGAAATAGTGCGTTTCAAGGAAACTGGCGAGGCACCAACTTTTAAGGCACCAGAATCTGCGGGGTACAAGTAGCGCAGGATCGGCCATGATGGTTAAACTTAGGGAAGGCATTTGTACAAGAGTGTTTTGATTTTGCACAAGATTTCGTATGCTCCCACTGGTGGATAACATCATTCATTCCATTTTCAGGGAAGCAGTCATGCATTCCAATTTAAAGATTAATATAGAAGATATATTACTATATTTTTGTGGTGCATTATTGTTAATCAATTGAAATGTGTACATTACTCGAGTCGGTCAATGATATCCACTTTGTGTTGTCTATCAGCGCCTAATCAAATTCATTATCTCAATCATTTTGTTTTTATTAATTCACTGTATCTACGGCTAATTTTAATACCAAAATCATATTTTTAAACTTGATTTTTTGACATATTCTGAATATGTTGAGTTTTGTGCACTTAAAAAATTTGTATAACTCTCGTTACTATTATTTTTACGACCTTCCTATTTATGGCTTATCCATAACACATGTCGAATTGTGAGGAACGTTATATTTAATATTTCAAAGATTTATATACGTTATACCACAATACATAGTCAAAATAATATTACCCAGTTGAAACGAGCTGCCGTCAGGAAATACTAAATATCTCCTTTTTCTTGATAATATCTTTTCAGACGAAGTTTCGTTTAGCGAACTTCCCAAGCTAATAGTAAAAAAACAGACTAACGTCCACACCAACAAAATTATATATATACTGTTGAATTTTGTTCGTGACATCTGGAACAAAAGGGTTTAAAATTCAGCTGTACATGCCTCAAATGATAGTGCTAAATAGTATAAGACTATTATCAACTTGCTGGTAGACTTATGGAACGATAGACCGATGGACCGATCCTGAATATGCGTCAGGATGGTGGATCAGACGTGGATGAGAATGGCGAGCGATCGAACACCATGGCGTAAAAAGAGAGACCTATGTCCGACAGTGGGTCTTAAAGGGCAGAAGATGCTGACGATGACCATCAACTGTGACGATCCAATGACATTTTAGGTGAACAGGATAATTGTTGAGATTTCGACATTTCCACAAAGTTTTTTTATTTGTGATTTTTTGTATAAATTTACTTAAATTAATTAATTATGCTATCTGTGGATCAGATATTTTGTAATTTGCACATTAACCGACAGACTTCCAAAACCAATTCAATTCTAAGCAAAGTACCTAAAATTATTGTTCTCATATAATTACTATGATAACCGATTACAGAACAAAAAATCTTAAAATCAATTAATGATTCAGTTTAAAATTTAAGAAAGTATTTAAATAGCTCTTGAATATTACTTTGCTACTACTTGGAAATTTTTATTATTAACTATACTCACTTTTAACTTTCAGCCAACTCTATATACAACAAATAACCGTACTGGATTCCAACACAGTATCCAAACAAAGACTGGTCCACGATAGAGAATGTTTAACGTATATTTCTGGACCCATACAAATTGGAGCCAAATGTATTTGCATATAATTAAGCCGCCGGAACTGGTGTTGTCTCCGCGAACGTGCTAATGAATGAGGAGGTGTCGATGTTCCGTACAATTGTGAGTGTAACCATTTTTAGGGCACGCTTCGACAAACAGACTCATGTTTAATAAAATAGTTCGATTAGTTAATATTTCACTCCAATTTTATAACGAACTAGCTGACCGGGCAGACTTTGTAGTGCCTCAATCGATAAATAATATACCTAAGCTTTTGTATAAAATAAACTTAAAACAAACAAAAGGAATCCGTTCGACGGGGGACACATCAAAGGGAAAACAAAATTGTTATTTTTATTTAATTCTGAGCATTTTCATATTTATCTACCTTTTAAACCTTCTCTGAACTACCACAAATAATTCAAGACCAAAATAACCCAAATCGGTCAAGCCGTTCTCGAGTTTTAGGTAGACTAACGAACAGCAATTCATTTATATATATAGATAGAAAGCAAAGTTTATCACTATTAGAAAGAACAGATACATATTTTGAGATTGTTAGTTCCATGGGGAGTGCTCTGAGGAATTGTTTGAGATGATACCTTCATCTCGTTTTTACCATCGCACCGCCCGCCACCGGAGTGGAGTTCATCCATACTAGCTGGAGCCACTGCATTCATCCACAGTGCATTTCCAGAGATCTTTTTTTTACGTACCATCCGGCTTTGGAATGAGCTCCCCTCAACGGTGTTTTCCGAGCGCTATGACATATCATTCTTCAAACGAGGCTTGTGGAGAGTACTTAACGGTAGGCAGCGGCTTGGCTCTGCCCCTTGGCATTGCTGAAGTCCATGTGCGACGGTAACCACTCACCATCAGGTGTATGCTCATCTGCCTACAAAGGCAATAAAAAAAAGGTAGGTTTTTTTATACAGCTTCTATAAATACATATTTGAAATTAACAATTTTAATTATATAAAACCCCAACCGAAATCCCAAATTTATCGACGAATAATCAAAATATCAATTTAGCGATTCCGATTCGGTGGTAGATTCTGAGAAGTGCTGCTCTTGCTAGGGCTAATATTAGAAAATTCTCTCAGGTTGAGCCCGTGAACTTACCTACTCGTCCGCCCGTAGTAGCCCTTTAGACTACCAATGAATAGGTAACAAAAAAAGAAACATCAATTCTCAATTAATCTTTTTTTTTTTTTTTTTTATTGCTTAGATGGGTGGACGAGCTCACAGCCCACCCGATGTTAAGTGGCTACTGGAGCCCATAGACATCTTCAACGTAAATGCGCCACCCACCTTGAGATATAAGTTCCAAGATGTTAAGTATAGTCCGAAACGCATTACTGATTCACGGCAGAAATAGGCAAGGTGGGGGTACCTACCCGTGCGAAGTCACAAGAGGTCCTACCACCAGTAAAAAAGTAGCTGCTTGTTTTTGAGTCCTGCGTTCTGTTTAAATGGGTAAGTCAATCCCTACTTTCTATGGTTCAAATCATAATATCAATGACGTCATTTACGACTATAGTTTTCGGTTATGACTATTAAAAGTAAAAACATTGTAAGCTCCTTGTCTCAAACATGATGATCATATACATACGTATGAAATTTGTGAATGTATTTGCATTACATTTTCTATCATAAAATAAACATTTAAACTAATTTCGGTAGTTTCATTTATTTAACATGGAAATGATTTGATGACATTAGGGAAAAGGTAACAGGATTATATTAATTGCTTGCAGGCTTCAAACATTAACATTATTAATTAAAGCACATCAGTATTGTACAAATAATTGATTTATTGCGTTAATTTTAACAAAACCGAGTTCTTCAGAGATAATCACAGAATATCTATAAAATATATAAAAATGAATTGCTGTTCGTTAGTCTCGCTAAAACTCGAGAACGGCTGGACCGATTTGTCTAATTTGGTCTTGAATTATTTGTGGAAGTCCAGAGAAGGTTTAAAAGCTAGATAAATATGGAAATGCTCGGAATTAAATAAAAATAACAATTTTGTTTTCCCTTTGATGTGTCCCCCGACGGACCGATTCCTTTTGTTTGTTTTAAGTTTATTTTATACAAAAGTTTAGGTCTTTTGTTTATCAATTGAGGCACTACGAAGTCTGCCGGGTCAGCCAGTAAGTAATAAATTTGTTTATAATTCCAGTATGTTTAAAAATTTCCATCAAAATCTTCACAGTCGGGGTACAAGCTGAGACACTCGTTCGTTGGAGAATGCGCTCTGTCATATTCTTTATGATATTCGTCTTCAAATTCTTTGCCTTTTGGTAGCCTGAAAAAAAAACAAAAATATTCGTCTAAAAACCAAACAGGGTAGTCCATTGAATATATTAATAATTCACACGACCGCTGTAAAAAAACATACATTTTAAATAACCCTTTGACTGCAATGTAGGTCACCGGTGTCCTACGCGGCGCACTGAAGTAGTTATGTCGATTTATCTTACTAATGGATGGAGACTGGCAGTCGACAGGCTGAAACGGAGTCGCGATCCTCAGCAATGAGGGAGCGATGGAGAAGAAGAATGTTACTAAAGCGCCTGGATTGCCTAACTTTGGCTTTCTTTTGTTTGATAATACCTATATAATGTATGTTTTAGTCTTTTAAGTCTCTTAAAAATAGATTCATTGTCAGTATTTTCGAATTCGTCTTTCCCAGAGTGTATTAGATATTCCGGCGCCTTAGTAAGAAGAACAAAGAGAGAAATCGACATAGTTACTTCAGTGCGCGGCGTAGGGCATCGGTGACCTACATGGCAGTCAACTTGTTAAACATATATTAGCAAAACTTATGATTAAAAATTTTAATTAGAAAAAAAAATCCGAGACTCCTTTACTTTTACTTTTCATCAGGCGTGTCCCCTGGAGAGCGTAAAGCAACGTGAGTTAAGTGATTGTGCATCTTATTCATTCGTCAGCACACACTAAAATCGTCTGAGGGGATTGCCATCGATATCTACTAAGCTCACATGACTTCGTTTATCTACTACCATAAGACTGAGGCTTCGACAAGTTTCTAATTGGGTGCCATCACTCAGATTGTGCAATCTTCATAGACAGAACCCATGCGTCGCACTAGCATTAACATTCTTAACCGCACTGCTCAAACAGTTCATCCATTTTTTTAAACCTACACATATAGCTAATTTGTTAACAAGTAGGCAATCACTATATATACAGATATAATTTGCGTAATTACTGGTGGTAGGACGTCTTGGCAGTCCGCACGGTTAGGTACCACCACCCTGCCTATGTCTGCCGTGAACCAGTAATGCGTTTCGGTATAAGGGGTGGGGCAGCAGTTCTACTGTAAAAGCGGTGACTTAGAATTTATGTTTTCAGTTTATTGATATCTATGCACTCCGGCGACCACTTAAAGCCACGTGGGCCGTGAGCTCATTCATCCATCTAAGCAATAAATAAAAAAAATGTAGGTATTTTTTTCTATAGGTTTCTTATACCTTATTTTATCTATTTGGATCGTAATTGACTTACAATGCTAAATACTGTATTATAATCATTCGTAGCCACACGTTTTTAATATGGTATTTTTTTTTTGTTGCTTAGGTGGTTGGACGAGCTCACAGCCGACCTGGTGTGAAGTGGTTACTGGAGCCCATAGTCATCTACAACGTAAATGCGCCACCCACCTTGAGATATAAGTTCTAATGTCTCAGTATAGTTACAACGGCTGCCCCACCCTTCAAACCGAAACGTATTACTGCTTCACGGCAGAAATAGGCAGGGTGGTGGTACCTACCCGTGCGGACTCAAAAGACGTCCTACCACCAGTTACGTAACTAGTTATTTACGTTTTACAATTTTTAACAGATCGAGGTCTTCTTTTCGGAATATCATTACATCTACAAAATTTACAAAAGCAATTTGGTAAAATTTAACGCAGGATTTGACTAAAAACAATTTAACAAGATCAACGGATTACGTTCAGTGAACTCTATCAACTAAAACCTTATTCAATTAGCACTGGTATTAATTTAATATTTTCCGTCCGCGAATGTTTATTTAGAAATAGTAGGGACTATTTGGTCACAAAATGCTCCTGGATCGTAAAACAAAATTGAATTCTTTAATTTACGTATATACCCTAGTCTATTTTATTTTTTTTATACACCCGTCATCACATGGCGTTTCTGTTTCCCCTAAAATAGGTCAGTCTTTTTACATCCAGTTCGTATTTAGTTTTTTAACTTACACCCTATCCACTCTACTCCTTCTTTGGGAGATCCTCCTTTTGGCCTGCTATTGTTTATTTTATCTTTATTATTGTTTATTTATATTTATTTAAAATCTTATTAATTACATAATATTTTTTTAAAAAGATATTAAAAATACAATTTTTAAAAAACACTATATAAAAATAGATTGCCGCTGATGGCGGTGTCTACGACACAAGCCACCAGTGGTTAGGACTCCAGAGTGAGAAACCTCCTCACAATGCGTGCAGTATCGAGGATAACTGCTTTCTGTATTAGGCCCTTAACCCAGCTGGATAACGAAAGTTTCTGAAGATGTTGATCGAAACTTTTCGCTATCAAGCCGTGTACCGATACAACTATTGGAACAATGATGGTTGAATCAACATGCCACATGGCGGTAGTCTCGTGGGCCAGGTCTAAATATTTTATTAATTTGTCCTTTTTATTATTATTATTATATTTTTTTTTTTTTCTTATTACTAACTACTAACAATATTTCATCTTATTCTAATAAACCCCACCTGTCTTACATATTTCATTATTAATCTATACCCTAGTCTATGTTTGAGGCTCTTGAGGTAGCTTCCTAAAAGCGGACTATCTTGCAGGGGGTCGATCTTCTTGAAAAGACTTACATACATGTGCTCGCGATTCTCAATAATGAGAGAACGACGCCGAAGATGTTTGAGGCCAGACTCTTGAGTCTAAGCACCGCTACCCTTCTAAAGACTCCCTTCGTTATTCTTATCACTACATAGTATAAAACAATGTCGCTTTCTCTGTCCCTATATCTGTCTGTCCCTATGTATGCTTAAATCTTTAAAACTACGCAACGGATTTTGATGCGGTTTTTTTTAATAGATAGAGTGATTGAAGAGGAAGGTATATACGTATAATAACAACCATTAAATAGTGGAGAAATACTGTTATCAATAATAAATTACAGTTCCCTAAGCGAAGCGAAGGCGGGTCGCTAGTTTATTATAATTTTTTATTGCGTACATGGTATTTGTAGCGGTAGGCAGCGGCTTGGCTCTGTCCCCGGTATTACTGAAGTCCATGGGTGACGGTAACCACTCACCATCAGGTGGGCCGCTTGCTCGTCTGCCTACACGGGCAATGAAAAAAAAAGATGCCTAACATCTTTACCTAACAACAACATTAAATACAAAAAAATAGTACTATGGGTGATCTTATCGCTAAGAGCGATCTCTTCCAGAAAACCACCAGGTGGATGAGAATCACTTTAGGTAACAAATTACACGCGGTGTACCTATCAATTGAAATATATATTATACATATATATACATACACATACACATATACATACACATATACATACACATAGATATACATACACACATACAACATGTACCGGGGTTACATATGTACTAGAACATCATTTATCATTATACTCCTCTGGCCATATAGAGCATTCAAGACAAATCGGTAGGATGATACTGCTAATCTACAACATAAGAAACCTTATCTAGTTTTTGAAATATAATTTCGTGATCTTTTTTTTATTAAGAAAATGTTAATCACAAAAGGAAAACTCCACGATGCTTACTGAACGCTAAAGTGAGCTATCCATGAATTCAAGTGGGCAGTAGAACAGATAACGGTGCATTACGTGAAGTCATGTGAACAAATAAACGGCTTGAAAATATTTAGGGCATTGCCAATCTCGAATCTAAGTCACAATGTCCACAACAACATGTACATACAATAAACACCGCATGAAGCGGTAAATTATAATGTTATGTTCGTTCGCTTGCTCCAAAGATACTACCACCCCGCCTATTTCATGCCGTGAAGCAATAATACATTTCGGCTTGAAGGGTGGGGCAGCTGTTGTAACTATACTGAGACCTTAGAACTTATATCTCAAGGTGGGGGGTGCATTTACGTTATAGATGCGTTTTCAGAGATCTTTTTTGCCACGTACTATCTGGCTTTGGAATGAGCTCCCCTCCACGGTGTTTCCCGAGCGTTATGACCTGTCCTTGTTCAAACGAGGCTTGGCTCTGCCCCTGGCATTGCTGAAGTTCATGGGCGACGGTAACCACTCACCATCAGGTGGGCCGTAAGCTCGTCTGCCTACAAGGCTATAAAAAAAAAAGATGCCTATGGGCTCCGATAACCACTTAACACCAGATGGGCTGTGAGCTCGTTCACCCATGTAAGCAATAAAAAAGGCTATGACAGAAAGGAAGGCTACAGTGCAGTTCGACTAACGCCACCCAAAAATCCGAACATAGCATAAAAGCGTCCTAAGAACTTCCTTCCGACCCAAATAAGAATGATCCAGTAAATAAATAATAATGTATGATGAGTGTACACGTAAACCTAAAGCCTCAAATATTTTACTTTCCAATTAATTTGCTTTGAAATATGTGAGATGAAAAGAACGGTATCCCTACGATACAAGGAAAATATTCCACTCAAAGGACGTATTCTTAAGCCAAATGATATGATTCATGTGAAGATTTATTTGAACTCTCTAACATCAAAGCATTTATTATGAACGTTAAGTATTTTTCCATATATTTTAATGGGAAAAATACTGAATTATTACACCTTTTAATGCTTTAGTGCTCAATTTTTACTTAAAGTATCATCAGGTTTGAGCCCCGTGAGCTCACCTACTAGTTAAGGCGACGCTGGTATAGCCTCAAGGCTATCAGATTAGGTAGAAAAAAAAAACTTAAAGTAAACCTTTTCATCTTTCCAATTATTCGCATATAGTCCGTATAAATAAATAGGTGACATCTTGTTGATAGTCTAATTATTCTGATGTATCTTGTTATAGATCTAAGGCTCCAGAATGCAAAATGTTTTGGTCTAAGTACGTATTGAACTGTATCTGTTACGCATTTATTATGGTGGTGATGTGTTCGAAACCAAACCGTGGGTATTTGAATTTTTACCACGGCAACACGGGTCGCGATTTGACGGTGCCTTCGCGACTTGTCATCTGTCATGGCTTGTTTCTCGAACGGGACGGTACCCTCATGTGTGACGATCTACGCTACGGTTTGCATTATCACTAATC